GTGATGTGTGTGTGTGTGTGTTTGTGTGTGTGTGGTGTGTGTGTTGGATGTGTCCATGTGTGGTGGTGTCTGTTTGTGTGTGTGTCTCTCTCTCTCTCTCCGATTGTGCTGTTTTTGTTGCGTGTATATTATATATTATGTGCGTGTTCTTTGTCATCCGTGTTTATGGCAACGCGCGAATTGTGTGATCATTTATTTTTGATTTATCTATAACGCATTGTATTTGCCTTTTAACTTTATCTGGATGATTCTATTCCAATGTCTGCTGGACCTGATGAAGAGATGTAATTTCGAAGACGTCAATTAACTTTTAAACACCCTTTTCTATACCTTGACTTTGTTTTTATCTACACGGGTGTTGTGTGTGACTTTTACTTATATATATTATTATTATATTATATATGCTAACGATTTTGGTCTGCCGCAGCGTAACATCCTTGCGTTCTATCCTGCCATCTGCCCGATTCAATTGGGTGATGTGCCCTTCGATGTAGGCCGATCCACCGTATGTAGTGGCAATGTACACGTGCTTGATCACGTAGCTGGTACTGTGCCGTACTCATGACGTCTGGAAGCTTTGGCGTGAAGTGTTTAACGTCTGAAGCCGACGTGCATGTCCGTCGTGAAGCTGGCGCATGGGCGTCGCCCATCACTCAGCCGACACGTCACGTGTGTGTTGACGTGCCTTTATTTGAGGCGTATAAATACTGCTTGCTCTTCCAGAGCCACCGGCAGTTCAGTCACCGGCGGTGCCATGTACAGGTCAAGGAATAGCTCAGGGAACGGTCAGATCGATGAGAAGACAACGCAAGCTTACAGCACCGCAAACCAACACCGGCGATCAACTGCCGGACTTTGGCTGCTCTCTACAGGGATCGCCCTGGTTCAAGGCCTAGCTGCCTAGTTGTATTCTTTGTTAGCTATACTCGGGGCCTTACGCTGCAAGAAATTTGCACTGTTTTATGCCACTTGGTCTTGTTGACCAGGGCGGATAAATAGCCCCGGGCCTATTCCCGGCGTAAACACTGTTCATTTACTGAGTTGTGTTGTTCTTTCTTGTTGTGACTTGTACAATCAGTGGATCGAACAAGTGGGGAAGGTCCGCGTGACGGGGGGAAAAACGTTACACTGGTGCCGTGACCAGGATTGTACACTCGGTAGCACGGTTTAACACGTCCCGAGAGTCCAAAGGCAACGCTGCCCAGTAGTTATAGGATTAGCCTAAGTCACCTAACGTGTCTTCACTGGTTTAATTGTTGGCCCCGCCATCAGCTCTACCCACACCTCACGTTTTGCTCGTGCACGGGTTACTCGAGTTTGCGTGATCGGTTCCTGGGGTTTGCTATGTTGCATCGCGTCAGCTTTACCCATAACTTACCGTAGGGTAGTGGTCTCTCGGGATCAAGACTCTATAATGGAACGGTGGCTAGATACACCACCCATGCTGGGGACAAATGCTGGACTTAAATGCCATGGCTACCCGCGCAAAGCAGTGAAGAGGTACGGGTGAGCGCGGAGAGACAACTTCGTTGCCCCGCTCCCGTCCGGCGTCACCTGTAGCGGACGTGGTGCTAGACCTCCTGAAGAAACGGCCGCCGTTCTTTGCCGGTCGTTGGCACCCCCTTCCTGTTGGAGCAGGACGTCAGCTTCGAGGTCAACGGGGACTGGACATTGGGATATCCTACCTGATTAGGAGCGACGAATTCGAGCCGGCTTCCTCAGCTACCAGCGGACCGGACGCCAACGAACCGGAGTGGAAAGCGAGTCAGACACCGGCTCCGCAGCAAAGGGAACGCATGAAGGTACGCATCTACAACGGCAAGAGGGGACATGCCGTGGAAGGCGTTCCTTGGCCAATTCGAATGTCGTCGCACCCTCACCAATAAGTGGAACCCCAGCGAGAGGGGCTGCGCAGATTGGCCGGCGCCCATCGATTATCGGCGTCGGCAGTATTGTTTCGAACTGCAGGGTCCGGGGCCACCGAGAAGAAGAGCTACATCAGGCAAAGCGCTACAGGAACGTCGTGCACGTTGGGGTTCAGAAACTGCGAAGCGCCAAACTCCGCTTTTGTGAGCGCGAGAAGAGCTACATGGTGAGACGTGGTTGAATTCGCAAGGGCTCAACATGCTTCAGTCAGCCAGGCGAGGTAGGCATAAGCCGTGTGGAATGCAGCCGTCGGGCCGTTGGATTCCTCCGTTAAATCACCGAAGAGGGGCCGAAAGTTTACATCAATGGGAAGACGCGGCATTAGCGGAAGGCGCAGCACGGGACAGCGACAGATATGAATCTATCGATGCGTCGGCAGGCTATCGGTATCAGAGACCGGACGTACGGGTGGTAGTCAGCACCCGGAATCCGAGTGCGTGTCCAGAGGAACGCCGAACGCAGAGGGGAGACACTTGTAGCAGCGGCGAGTGAGATGGACACAGACTCCGCAATCTCACACAGCTGACCGTGCGGGATTTAGTCCGGGAGGAACTCGAGGGCTCGACCCATCCTCTTAGGAGTTCCAACGGCCACACCGAGGACTAGAATTGATTGAGGCATCCGTAAAGAGGCGAGAATGGTTTCCGCCTGTGCGCGGGCAATGGGCAATTGGCCCGAGGCTCTGTGTAGTAAGTCGGCCGGCATCCGGTAGTAGCAAGATGGACCTAGGGGGACGAGTGCCTCAAGGCCTTCGTTCAGACACCGGAGCTTGAGCACGAGCCGCTGAGGCCTTGACCGATAAACATCTGGTTGGCTGTCGTGGACGAGAGCGACGAATGCACCAATGGCAAGAGGAGGATCCAACCCATCCGAGGCTCCGCAAGCTGAAGGGAGTACCGTGACCAAGCCCCCGTTACTATGTGTGGCGATAGTCTGTGGGAGGGAAAGGTACCTGAGAGCTTATTGGGACGGTCTAGAAGTACGCATGGGGTTCTCTATCAGAGTGGACCGAGGTTTACGGAGATCTGCAAGCTCCTCGAAATTGACAAGACCCGCACGACGCCGTACCATCCGCAGTCGGACGGGCTAGTCGAGAGACTTAACCGTACCGTTCTGAATATGCTGGCAAAGGTCGGAAACGCGCAGAAAAACGACTGGGATGTGCACCTCCTTTTCGTGATGGCAGCTTACCGTAGTACACCTCAGGAGAGTACGGGGGTGAGTCCAACCCTCATGATGTTCGGTCGTGAGGTCGGATCGCCGGTGGACCTCATGTTCAACTGCTTACCGGGACTGGAATATCCGGCTTGTCCGGTGGAGTATGTTGATTGGGTGAGACAGTCTATTCGTGCGGCGCATCAGCACGCGCGTACGCAATTGGGAAGAGCGGCGGAGAGGCAGAAACGGAATTATGACAAACGTGTCAAACCGGCGGCCTTTCCGCCGGGAACCTGGGTGTGGCAATACTACGTGCCTGAGTCTGGGAAGCTGGGCACTCCCTGGCAAGGTCCGCTCCTGGTAACACGGGAGCGAGGAACGCTTCGCTGGGTGCAGGCTCATGAGACTGACCCACCTAGTGTGGTAGCGGTCGACGACCTCAAGCCCTATGTGGGGCCTATGCTCGGAAACTTTGGTCGCTTCCGGGAAGCCGCCATTCCGGAGGAGCATCTCCCGCGAAGACACGGTAGCATGAGGGAGTCGACGTGGCAACCAGCAGGGACGTATCATGTGCCGAACCTGACGTGAACGTCAAGCTGAGGTAAGGAATCGTATTTAACATTAAATTGTTGGTTCGCGAAGTATACACACGTATATTCTTTGTTCCTTCAGCGTTCATGATTCTATTGCTAACGCATTTGCATATTTCATGCGCGAAGAAGATGCATTCGTACATTCCATACTTCCTACAGACGCCTTTAAGAAGACAAAAGACGTGTACGGCCGTCTAGATATCGTCATGAACAACGCAGGAATCGCAGACGAAACAAATGTTCAGCGCATGATCAGCATTAACCTGGTTTGTAAACCGGAAAGGAAATCCCGAGACCTATGACGTCACCTGTCTGACCCCGTCCTTGGTGGAACATTCCGTATTCCGACACCCTACAGATGTACATAGTGTCGCCTTGAATTCTGTTATTCTATGTGCTATCTCTCTCTCTCTCTCTCTCTCTCTCTCTCTCTCTCTCTGCATGTCTGTCTGTCTGTCTGTCTGTCTGGCTGTATATATCCCAATCTCGTTGTCAGATAATCAACATTAAAGGTCGCAACTTGATGTTTCTGAAAGTATCTGAAAATTGTCTTTTTGGCCACAGTCAAACGGCAAAGTCGGAACGTTTTTTTAAATCGATCAATAGTATATGCGTGTGTTCACGATTCTGTATGTTGCAGGGCTAAAACCGATGTGGCATGTGCCTGCATACGTGGCAACAAAATCCGGAGTCATTGCATTCTCGCGCGCCATGGCCAAGGTGAGATGTACATTGTTTTAACAGCATCCTCACCTCACCCTCCCCGCTATATGAAGATGTGCTATGAACCCTTCCCCGTTGATCGATCACTCCCGGGGTGAGAGCGGGGAAGGTATGCGTGTATACCGTATACAACTATAGTGAAGGCTCCCTCCCTCATGCACGTCGTTACAGCATGACGAGTCAGTCTTACGGCCCGGCTACGGAGTCAGGATCAACTGCCTCTGTCCCGCCGTCTCGCCAACGCCCATACATGACGAAGTGAAATACAACTTTGCGGACGAACGAAAAGCTGAAAAGAGAGCGATTGATTCGCTAAAGTCGAGCAGCGAGAGATTGTTGGATTTTCGTGAGTACAGTAGCAGCCAGTATATTTCCATTGCTAAAGAGAAAGAGAGCAGCTGCTCTAGTAGTAGTAGTAGCAGCAAGCAATATCATCATCAGCAAGGCAGAGTAGTAAGCAGCAGCAGCAATATCAATCAAAATCAGCAGCAGCAGGCAGCAAGCAGCCAGCCAGGAGCAGCGAGCAGCAGCAAGCAGCAGCAGGACAGCAGCAAGCAGGAGGAGCAGCAGGCAGCAGCAGCCAGCAGGAGAGCAGGCCTAGCAGCAGGAGCAGCAGCAAGCAGGCAGCAAGCAGGAGCAGCAGCAGCAGGCAGCAGCAGCAGCAGGAGCAGGCAGGCCCGCCAGGAGAGCAGCAGCAGCAGGGAGCAGCAGCAGCAGCAGCAAGCAGCAGGCAGAGCAGCAGCAGCAGCAGGAGGCACAAAGCAGCAGAATCGTAGCGGGCGTGGAGCAGTGAACTATCTGGCATGTAGTAGTTACGTAGTCGAGTATAGTCGTAGTAGTGAGTGGTAGTAGGCGTGGTAGTGGTAAATCAGGTGTGGTAGCTAGTAAGGGCGTGGTAGTGGTAGTGTAGATGGTAGCAGTAGTGTACGAGGTAGCGGTAGTAGTAGTGTAGTAGGTGTGGTTGTGATAGTAGTCGTATATAAGTGGTCGAGGCAGTAGTAGTGGTAGTAGTTGTAGAAAGTGGTAGTAGTACGTAGTTGTAAGTAGTAAATAGTAGTAGTAGTAGCTAGTAGTAGTAAGTAAGAGTAGTAGTAGTATAAGTAGTAGTAGTAGTAGTAGTAGTAGGCAGCAGCAGTTAAGTAAGTAGTAGTAGTCAGTAGCAGCAGCAAAATATGTAGTAGTAAGTAGTAGTAGTAGAGTAGTAGTAGTATAGTAGTCAGTAGTAGTAGTAGTAGTAGTAGTAGTAGATAGAAGAAGTCATTTGCTTATTATATTTTTTAATTTATTTCTACTTCTAATTCTCAGCAGGCAGGATGTGCGCGATCGTGGCCTCGGCCTGTGGAGGATGAAGAGTTTAAACGGAGCCTGTCTGTTGGTGAGGAAGACAGACGGGGAGACGCTCCACTAATCCCGGAGACAACACCTTTCTTACCAATTTTAGGCAGCTATCCAGGATAACCACTTCCGGTTCTTAGACAATATCAAGGTAAGAGAAAGCTTATCTTGCCGTTACAGATGACTATTAAAGAACATATTTCTACCTAATGCTATACAACTCACCAGCTAGATAGGCTATTTTCGGTCTAGTTTTAGACAATGAATAGGGATAGGTTACGTGCTCACCAAGTGTCAGACGCTGTGAGCTGTAGATGTAGGATGTAACAAGCGTGTGCGTGCTCGGTGTGAATGCTGGCTCGCTCCTCTAGGATGAAATGAAGCCGCTATTACTGGTAGATACATGAATACAGAAATTCATATCTCACGCGGGTATTACACGGTGTGTGGTGTTTGCTGGGCGAATCAATGCGGCTCCTAAGGCAGCCGATAAATTAACGACCCCGATAGCGTATTACCATTCGTCGCCAGCTTCGCCCACAAAAAAACTGGTCGGCGGACTGCCAGATATAACGTTAAACGTTTCGAACATGATTTGTTCCCTGAATTCGTTTCGTCTCAACTGAATATCGTTTGTAACTGGCATAAATAAAAATAAATGTGAATTGACTTTTCCAATAAATAATGCACTAAATTAATGATTTAAATTAGCATGGTTAATTATATTGATGAATGTATAGTAATAAATGCAATTTAATAAATTAGATGAATGAATGTGCTTATGTTTCCTCGAGTAATTTAATTTATATAAACATTTACAAATTTAAATTCGACTACAATCTGAGAAATATTTTACGGAGTAAATAAAATGATTCATTTATTTATTGACGAAATGTATAAACTCAATTGGCCGAGATTTTCCACTAAATGTCAATGGTTAGATCTAGCCAGTATCTTTCAACATGGGCTAGACTTTGATGAAAGGAGGTAGGTTTGAATGGAGGAAGGAATGAGATATGACCCCTCACGCGATGGTCCGTGGCATACCCAACAGCACACACACACGGCATCCCACACCGCACAGGCACACACACTACACACAAACAACACAACACAACAACACAACACACACACACACACAGTGTAGGACGCACAACTTATCATAGCACACACACCCCCACACCACACACGACACACACACACATCAAACACACAACACACTTCACATTCACACACAACACACACACAAACACACACACAAACACGCACAAATCAACATGCACTAATCAGCAAACACCACCACACACACAACCACACACAGGCACACACACACAACACACGCACACACGCACCACGGCACACACACACACACACACCAGACACGCACGCACCACACATCACACACTACAAACACACAAAAACAACAAACACAGCACACACACCACACAACACACACTCACACACACACTGCACGCATTACCTGCACACGCACACGTATATATATAATATATATATATATATATACATATATACATATATATATATATATAAACGTATTTATCTACTTATTTATTTAAGGCAAGGTAATGTGCAAAGTTATGCAATTGCAGGGTTGAGACCGTTTTGGAATTTTTCCGCTTACACGGCAACGAAGCATGGAGTTATAGGATTCTCGCGTGCGATGGCATTGGTAAGATTGCATGCATAGCGTGAATTCTCAGTAAATTCTCAGTGGATTTTCAGTGTGATATCAGTAATTATCGTGTAATATACCGCTTCTTCCATCGTCCTAGTTTACGTTTACTTCATACAGCAAGACGGGTCGGCGCACAGTCTGGCTACGGGGTGAGGATCAACTGTCTCTGCCCTCACGCCACGGCGACCAACCGGTTAGGCGAGGCGAAGCTGAACTTCCCAGAGGAAGCCATGAAGAGGGTGCTCGATTTCTACAGCCCAACCAATCAGGAGTTTTGGATTCCGTTAGTATTGACTTTTCCGGATCTGGTCTAAAATCCATGAGTGTGGTGCGTTGTGTCTGTGCGCGCGGGCCGCGTGTGTGTAAGTGTTTTATGTGTTGTGTGTGGTGGGGGGGGGGTGTATGTGTGTGTGTATGTGTGTGTGTGTGTGTGTGTGTGTGTGTGTGGTGTAGTGATGTGTGTGTGTGTGTGCTGTGTGTGTGTGTGTGTGTGGTGTGTGTGGTGTAAGTGTGTTGTGTGTGTGTTGCGTGTGTGGGCGCGCGCGCGGTGTAAGTGGTGTTTATGTGTGGTGTGCTGTTGTGTGTGGTGTGTGTGTGAATGTGTGGCGTGTGTGGGTGTGTGATGTGTGCTAAGTGTTTGCCGTGCTGTGTGGTGTGTGTGTGTGTTGTGCGTCGTGTGTGTAAAGTGTTTGTGGTCGTGTACCCGTGTTGCTGTGTGGTAGTAATATGCTGTGTGTCGTGTCGCTGTGGGTAGTGGTGTGTGTGCTGTGTGTGTGTGTCGTGTGAGTGTGCTGTGTGTAAGTGTTTGTGTGTTATGTATGGTGTTGTGTGTGGTGTGTGTGTGTGTGCTGTGTGTAGAGTGTGTGTGTGTAAAGTGTTTGGTGTGTGTGTGTGTGTTGTGTGGTGTGTGTGTGTGTGGTGTGTGTGTGTGTGTGTGTGTGTGGTGTGTGGGTGTGTGTGTGTGTGTGTGTGTAAGTGTTTGTGTGTGTGTGTGTCTGCTATATATTATGTCTCTTGTGTAGGTCATGTGGTGCGTGCCGTGCGCTGCGTGTTGTGTGTCGTGTGTGTGGTGTGTGTGTGTTTGTGTGTGGTGTGTGGTGTGTGTGTGTGTGTGTTTGTGTGTATGTGTGCGTGTGTGTGTGGCGTGTGTGTGTGTGTGTGGTGTGTGTTTGTGTGGTGTGTGTGGTGTGTTTGTAGGTGTGTGCTTGTGTTAGTAAGTGTTTTGTGTGTGTATAATTTTGTGTGTGTGATGTAGAGTGGTGTGTCGTGTGTGGTGTGTGTTGGTGTGTGTGGTGTGTGTGTGTGTGTGTGTGTGAGTGTGTGTGTGTGTGTGT